AAAAAAAAAAAAAAATTACAGTGGTGCATGATGGGGATTTGACCTAGTAGGGAAGGGTTCTCTTATTGTTTGGGTGCTCTCTGCTACAAGTAACAGAATACCTCCAACCACAACAGGTTTAAACAATAAAGGCCATTTATTATTCTTTCTTATGAAAAAAGTTCTGGCATAGGTGGTTCTTGGGCTAACAGGAATATCAGGGTCTTGATCAGCTTCTTTTCAGTCCTCTTGGCTTACTTCACATCGTAAAAAAGATGATTATCACATCCTCAGCTATGTGCAAAGGTAGGAAGAAGTGGACTCCTTGCATTTTTCTCTCTTTATCACAAGAAGGAAAATCTTTCCCAGAAGCCCCCATCAGACTTCCTCTCAGGTCCCACTGGTCAGAACTGGATCACGTGCTCCCCTAAGCCAATCACTGATAGAGGGAAATGGGATCTTTTCCTTCAATCGACTTAGAACAATCATGGTTCATGTGCTGGGGCTCCTTCCCTGAGCATATTGCTGTTCCATACTTGAAAAAAACAAATCAGGGCCCTGTGAGCAAAGGAGAAGTGGGAAATGGACAGACAATCCTGATTGGGTGGGCAGTCGGTCAATAGTGTGAATCACAGCCTCCCAGAGGCAGTGCTGATTGAGCTCAGTATAGGGATGAGCAGATGGCACAACCCAGGCAAAGGCTCTGTGGCAGGAGGAGCTTTAGGGCCTGAAAAGTTTGTAGAGCTAGAGAAATGAAAGCATGAAGGGTGTGGTATGCTGTCAGGCTGAAGGGTGACAAGAGAACATTATTCAGGGTTTAATACCATAATAAGGTATTTATTTTTTCCTTTATTCTATGTGCAACAAGAAGCTGGTGTGGTGTTTTAAGAAGTGAGGTAGGGCTCGGCACAGTGGCTCACACCTGTAATTGGCACTTTGGGAGACTGAGGTGAGAGGATTACTTGAGGCCAGGAGTTTGAGGCCAGCCTGGTCAATATATTAAGGCCCCATCTCTAAAAAATAAAAAATTATCTGGGCATGGTGGTCCATGCCTCTTTTCCTAGCTACTAAGGAGGCTGAAGCAGGAGGGTTGTTTGAGACACAGGAGTTTGATGTTACAATGAGTTATGATAATGCCACTGTACTCCAGCTTGGGTAACAGAGTGACACCTTATCTCTATTTTTTAAAAAAGAAGAAATGAGGCCGGGCATGGTGGCTCATGCCTATAATCCTAGCACTCTGGGAGGCTGAGGTGGGTGTATTGCCCTGAACTCAAAGGTTTGAGACCAGCCTGAGCCAGAGTGAGACCCTCTCTCTACCCAAAAAAGCCAGGCATTGTGGTGAGTGCCTGTAGTCCCAGCTACTTGGGAGGCTGAGACAAGAGAATCGCTTCAGCCCAAGAGTTGGAGGTTGCTGTGAGCTCCAACTGATGCCACAGCTCCAACTGATGCCACAGCTCCAACTGATGCCACAGCACTCTACCGAGGTCCACAAAGTGAGACTCTGTCCCAGTAAAAAATAAAAAAATAAATAAAAGAAGAAACAAGGTCATTTAACTTAATGTGTGAAGAGGTCCCCCTTGGCTGCAGTATAGAGAATGGATTAGAGGGCAGCAAGAGCCCTCTACTAGTTTGGAGGCTTCCGCAGTATTCCAGAAGAAATGGTGCTGGCTTGATTAAGGACGGTGATTCTGTAGACACAAGAGATAATTAGAGGAAAAAAGCAGTGGGCCTTGGTGACAGAGGGAAGGAAAATAAAGGAAAGTGTGCAGCGTGGCTCTTAGGTTTCTGGTTTATATAATTAGATGGATAGTAGTGCTAAATCAGGGAACTTAAACTAGATATCTGAAAAATAATAATAGCAAATGTTTCTCTAACACTAACTCCTTTTATTCTCACAACAACACAAGAGGCAGGTAGTATTATTACCCCCAATTTACAAGTTTTAAAGAAACAAGGAATCCCAAAATTCTAGCTCATAATAATAATATACAGGCATACCTGGTTTGACTGTGCTTTACTTTATTGCACTTTGCAGATAATGCATTTCTTACGAATTGAAGGCTGATGGCAACCCTGCATCAAGAAACTCTCGGTGACATTTTTCCCACAGCACATGCCCACTTTGTGTCTCTGTGTCAAATTATTATTACTATTTTTTTTGAGACTGAGACTCACTCTGTTGCCCTGGGTAGAGTGCTGTGCTGTCATAGCTCACAGCAACCTCAAACTCTTGGGCTCAAATGATCCTCTTGACTCAGCCCCCTGAGTAGCTGGAACTACAGGCACCCACCACAATGCCCGGCTAGTTATTCTATTTTTAGTAGAGATGGGGTCTCACTCTTGTTCAGGCTGGGCTATTGTAATTATTTTGGAGCACCATGGACCATACCCAAATAAGATGGCAAACTTAATTGATAAACATTTTATGTGTTCTGACTGTCCCACTGATCAGCCATTCCCCATCTCTCTCTCTCCCCACTGGCCTCCCTACTCTCTGAGACACAAAAATATTGAAATTAGGCCTATTAGTAACCCTACAGTGACCCCTAAGTGTTCAAGTGAAGGAAGAGTCACAGGTCTCTCCTTTTAAATCAAAAGCTAGAAATGATTAAGCTTAGTGAGGAAAGCATGTTGAAAGCTGAGATAGGGCAAAATCTAGGTTTCTTGTAGCAAATGGTTAACCATGTTGTAAATGCAAAGGATAAGTTCGTGAAGGAAATTAAAAGTGCTACTCCAGTGAACACACAAATGATAAAGCAAAACCACCTTATCACTGATATGGAAAAAGTTTAGTGGGCTGGATAGAAGATCAGAACAGCCACAACATTTCCCTATGCCAAAGCCTAATCCAGAGCAAGGTCCTAACTCTCTTAAATTCTGTGAAGGCTGAGAGAGGGGAGAAAGCTGCAGAAAAACATATTGGACACTAGCAGAGGATGGGTCATGAGGTTTAAGGAAGGAAACCATCTCCATAACATAAAAGTGCAAGGGGAAGCAGCAAGCACTGATGTAAAAGCTGCAGCAAAATCTAATCTATCCAGAATATCTAATCTCAGATCATTGATGAAGTTGGCTACACTAAATAACAGATTCTCAATATGCATAAAGCAGCTTTCTATCCAAAGAAGATGCCATCTATGACTTTCATAATTAGAGAGGAGAAGTCAATGCCAGGCTTCAAAGGACAAGCTGACTCTCTTGTTAGGGACTAATGCAGCTGGTGACTTTAATATTAAGCCACTACTCATTTAACATTCTGAAAATCCTAGAATGATGTAATCTTAAGAATTACATTAAATCTACTCTGCCTTTCCTCTGTAAATGGAACAACAAAACCTGGATGACAGTACATCTGTACATAGCATGGTTTACTAAATATTTTAAGCCCACAAAAAGAATTCCTTTCAAAATATTATTGCTCATTGACAGTGCATCTGGTCACCCAAAAGCTCTGATAGAGAGGTATAGGAGATTAATATTGTTTTCATGCCTGCTAACAAACTTCTGTTCTGTAGTCAATGGATTGAGGAGTAAATTTAACTTTCAAGTCTTATCATTTAAGAAACACATTTCATAAGGCTATAGCTGCCATAGATAGTGATTCTCTGATGGATCTGGGCAAAGTAAATTGAAAACTTTCTGGAAAGGATTCATCATTCTAGATGCCATCAAGAATATTTATGATTCATGAGAGGAGGTAAAAATATCAACACTGAAAGGAGTTTGGAAGAAGTTGATTCCAGCCCTCGTGGATGGCTTTGAAGGATTCAAGACTTTAGTGGAGAAAGTCATTGCAATTGTGGTAGAAATAGCAAGAGAACTAGAATTAGAAGTGGAGCCTGAAGATGTGACTGAATTGCTGTAATCTCATGATAAAACTTAAATGGATAAGGAGTTGTTTCTTATAGATGAGCAAAGAAAGTGCTTTCTTGAGATGGAATCTATTTCTAGTGAAGATGCCGTGAACATTGTTGAAATGACAACAAAGGATTTAGAATAGCGCATGAACTGGAGAGGGTAGAACGGGGTGGGGGATGAAAAGTACTTCTTGGGTACAGTGTGTACTACTTAGGTAATGGGCACACTAAAAGCTAGACTTCACTATACAATTCATCTACGTAACAAAAACCATTTGAACCCTT